CCAACAGGGCCCACAACTCTCATACAATGACAACACAATCATAATTACAACACATAAATTAGGATGAGGTGGAAAAAATCATTATGTTTCCAGTTACAAGATAGTTTTGTTAGAACGCTGAGGAAATGCTATCTTGAACAAAGTCACCAGGACTCACCACAACAGATGGGTAATCTCAAAGCATTTAAAGAGTTTAAAAATGATTGTGAAAATGCCCCCCAATGATCTTGCTGAATTAAAGAGTCTTTTTGTGGAATTCTTTGTCAGGACATTCTTGAGAAAGGTTTTAATCTCAATCGATATTTCCTGATTGCATGAATATTTAAGTGTGTACCTATAATCACACATTGGGTGAAGCTTAATGTCTTCCATTGCTTTTTAAAACATCATCTTAAATACAAGGAGCCTTTTAAAAAGTTGTTTAATCTTGCTGATTTCGCTTCCATGATTGGAAAACCTTTGCAAATCCAAGTTAAGTGCTGCATTCATCATTACTATTTCATTAGAGGTCGCACAACCTGGACTAAAGCAGAGTGGCTGTTTCTTCAGAAATTAATATCGCTTTGGGACAAATCCATTAACACTTCACTGGTTGGTGCAGTGTGAAAAGACTGTGACTGGCAATCATTTGGGGAACTGGTGCATTCTACTGCTGTACAAAGGAAGATAAGAGCTGCATCAGAACAGAAACACATCTTGATGATATCAGCAGTTTGAGGATGATTTCAACATGGCTATTCTTTGGTCTATGAAAAGTTCCTCATCTATCATGATAAAGATTTGACAGTTTAGCTAAAAAGTTACTTTGGCAGGGGACGAGTGGTGTGGGAATGGAGAATATGACATCTGTCTTTAAAAATCTCAGAGGGAGCACAACATTTTAAGATGAACCAAAATTCTTTTCCAGGGTTTCCTCTCAGGAGCTGCCCACAGAACTCTCAAACAACTTGAATTTACTGAACATTTTAAGATAAATATACAAAAGGGAATCTCGGATTAAATATTTTGGGAAGCTGGTGAAGTTAACATGAGAGAAATTATGGTATGTGAAGTCTCCCATCTAAAGATGCAAAGAAAGTATCAGAGAAACAAATGTTTAGAGAAAACCTTGGAAACTAGATTCAAAGGTAATGCAAGTGAAGTCACAAACAGCCCCTGAATGAAAAAGGAGGTTAGCGATGGAAGCAGAGATGATATGCTAAACCATAACTTTCTGAGTTGGGAGGGAGAGCTGGTAAACTGCTAGCTATGTGAGTTAACAAACTGTGACCCCCCTTTCCTTTAATATATCCACTTGTGATACCCCTTCCTTTCCCATTCAGGGCCCAGATAGGTTAGACAATCACAGGTTCATCATCCATTTAGTCTCTATTTTTACAACATCCTTCCCACTTTTAAACATCAGGTCCCCACTCTCTTCCTCCAAGACACCACCCCTTGACCAGACACTCTCCCAAGTGATTAGAGAACTAAATACTGCTTCCCCTTTCATGCTGCCACCATAAATCTAGATATACAGGCTGGGGCTTACTGATTTGTGTGTCCATCGGTTTCTTCACTGAGACACTTCACTCTCAGTCAGCACAGATGAACAAAAGACAGTTAACTTTTATTTAAAACTTTAAACAACATTGGAGTGATCCAGGGGTCTTTTCATAGAAAAAGAGCTGCATGAGCTCATTAGCATATGGTATTCTAATGACTTACTAGGCTATTACCATATGCCATGCCCCCTGACATCACCGGAAGTGATGTCAGAAGGGGAAGCAAAAGGGGGGAGGCATCTTTAAAAACCTCCCCCTTCCCTTCCCCAGCTGGCCTGGGGGGGGGGGGGAGCAAAGAGAAGGGGTTTAAAGTTTAAACCCCTTCTCACTAGAGTTGAGCCACAGAAGGAGGAAAGAGGGAAAGAAAGAGAAGGAAAGAAGGAAGGAAAGAAGGAAGGAAAGGGGATAAAAAGAGAGAAGAAAAGAAGGAAGGAAAGGGGATAAAAGGGGAGAAGTAAAGAGGGAAAGAAAGAGAGAGAAGGGAAGAAGGAGGGAAGAGAAGGAAAGGATGAAAGAGAGGAAGGAAGGAAGAGAAGGGAAACAGAGAAAGAAAAGGAGGGAAAGATGGCAAAGAGATGGAGGGAGGGATGGAGGGAGGAAGGAAGGGAGGCTCTCCCACCCCCCATCAAGCCCCTGCCACCCCCACCCCTGTGGATCCCTTACTTACTGCTTCAGCGCGGGCTGGGGGATTTGGCTACGGGGCTCTCCGGGCTTCCCCCAGCCCCAGCGCTTCTGTGCAGAAATGGGAACCGGCTGCGGGGCTCTCCGGGACTCCCCCGGCCCCAGCGCTTCTGCGTGGGCCCAGGGGACCTGGCAGCGTGGCTCTTCGGGCCTCCCCCTGCCCCAGCGCTTTGGCACGGGCCTGGGGAACCTGACGGTGGGGCTCTTTGGGCCTCCCCCCGGCCCCAGCACTTCAGCACGGGGAGCTGGGGGCGGGGATTGCTGTTTCACCATTTGTACTGGGTCCTGGGCTGCCGGAGGGCTCCCCCTTTCAGTCATCTTCTAACTCAGTCACCTTCACTCTCAGACTCAGTCTTCCAACTCCATTTTTTCTTCACACACATACCCCTCATCCCACAGCTAACCATCAGTCTCCCCTCAACATTCTGTCAGCTCTCACTGGCTGCACTCAGAGAGGCAGAATGGGACCAGTCTTTCTCACAAATGTAAGGCAAAAGGGACAATTGTAGCAGTAAGAAAAAAGATCATAATTTGGAGATACAGACAGATTTTATTATGTAAGAGTTCACTGATGGGGGGGACTGTACAAATCAGAGCAAGCTCCGCAGGATGACAGATAACTTTTGAGGCATCTGAAAATTCGTAAAATAATAAGATGATGATAGAAAACTTAGGTGAAATGCCATCTCTCTATGAAGTAATAACAGCATTTAATAGGTTGCCAACTCCATGATGGGGAATTCCTAGAGATCTGGGCATGCAGCTTGGGGAGGTTGGGGTTTGGGGAGGGAAGGGAAGGGACCTCAGCAAGGTATAATTCCACAGAGTCCACCCTCTAAAACAGCAGTTTTCTCCAGGGAAACTGACCTCTGTCATCTGGAGATCCACTGTAATTCCAGATCTCCAGTCATCACTTGAAGGTTGGCAAACCCAGTGATTAGGAATCTTCAGAAATATAAATCCTCTGGCCTTGATGGCTTTACACCTGAATATTATCAAGTTTTTGTAGAAATTGTGTGTTTACCACTGTAAAAGTAAAGGTTTCTCTTGCTCGAAAGCCAGTCGAACCTGACTTTAGGGGGGCGGTGCTCATCTCCGTTTCCAAGCTGAAGAGCCAGCGCTGTCTGAAGACATTTCTTTGGTTATGTGGCTGGCATGACTAGATGCTGAGATGCACAGAATGCTGTTTCCTTCGCACCGAAGCAGTGCCTATTTCTCTACTTGCAATTTCTTGCTTTCAAACTGCTAGGTTGGCAGGAGATGGGACCAGAGACGGGAGCTCACTCCGTCATGCGGCACTCGGGTCTCGAACTGCTGAACTACTGACCTTCCGGTCTGCAGTTCAGTGTTTTAACCACTGAGCCACCACGGCCTGTTTATCACTGTACAACACAATAAAGGAAATATACACATCATGAAAAAATGCCCACAGTCATGCACTCTCAATAAGGTAATAGTGATTCTGAAATTAGGAAAAGATGAAAGAGAACCTGGACCTTACAGTCCAAAAAGCCTATTAAGCTATAATTTCAAAATACTTATGACCATTCTTGCTTAATGTCTAAAATCGGTCATAGCAAATATATTGATGCAGATCAAACTGGCTTCATTCCCAGTTGGTGTTTGACAACCCATATTAGAGAACTCTTTGACCTTATGGATGATGTAAAGAGTAAAAAACTAAATTCCACTTTTCTCTCTCAGCATGGAGAAAGCTTTAAATCATGTAGATATGTCTTTCTTAATATTTACGAAGGTCTAAAGGCTTGGAGATTAATTTATTTGATGGGCTGAAGTTATATACTCAGTTTCCATGGCAAGTTTAGTAATGCTGGGTACCTTTTCACTCCTCTTTAAAATTCTGAGGGGGTATGGCAGAGTTGCCTGCTTTCTACCTTACTATTTGCAATTGATCCTTTGGTGATCTTAACATGTCATTCTCCTGCTCTTAGGGATTTAAAGGTAATAGTTGTCAGTATACTCTATATTCTGTATATATGCAGACAATACAGTCTTGTTTTTGACAAACCTTGAAAAATATAGCGAGACTTTAAAGATGGTTTTATAACAGTGTTAAACATGGAGGAAAAAAGACCTGCGGTGGCTCAAGTGGTTAAGACGCTGAACTGCAGGCTGTGGAAGGTCAGTAGTTCAGCAGTTCAAGACCCGGGTGCCGCAAGACGGGGTGAGCTCCCGTCTCTAGTTCCAGCTCCTGCCAACCTAGCAGTTCGAAAGCAAGAAATTGCAAGTAGATAAATAGGTACCACTTCGGTGGGAAGGTAACAGCGTTCCGTGCGCCTTGGTGTTTAGTCATGCCGGCCACATGACCACGGAAACGTCTTCGGACAGCGCTGGCTCTTTGGCTTGGAAACGGAGATGAGCACCGCAACCCTAGAGTCGGATTCGACTGGCTTTCGAGCAAGGGGACCTTGACCTTGAAAGGCCATTTTGGCATGGGTTATCTGCCCCCAAATTCAATGCTTTGGGGAAGCAGATTTCACCTGGGGACACAGTTTGCAACTGGGGACTCTTTGCAACTAAGGTACACCAGCCACACCATTGTAAGTGGCCACTTATAGTGCTGCAACTTCAGTGACTTCTCTGTATAAATGTAGTGAAATTGTTCTGTGAATTGTTCACCGCATATGTGGTAGCTAGTTTTCAAAAAGCAGCAAAAAAAGTGTTGAAAAATAAAATAAAAATAACTTGGTAGCTGTCCTGTAGAATAGTTTAAATACATTAAACCTGTAAGAATCTAGAACTTAGGGTGCTTACCTTTTTGTCATAAAATGTATCAATGAGAGTAATGAAGCGCCGAGCCTGAGTCCTTTTTGCCATTGTAAGCAGAGGTATGTGACGAATGAAGACAAAGTCAAAATGTGTGGCTATTTCCAAATAATCACTGGCACCAAGTGGCTGGAACAGAAAATGGGAAATGTGATAAATCAGAAAATTAAAAGACAGGAACCACACCACAGTTTGACGTGCTAATGTTGTACTGCAACGAAACAAAGCTACTTGTCCTGTTTTGTTGTGAAAGGTCTGAGTTACCAGGAAATTAATTCCATAAGGTGACAGTTAAGCTTAGCTTTATGTTCTCCCAGTTAATCAACAAGTAATTTGTGGTTTTTATCAACAATATGAGGGTAACAGTATGAGGATCTTAATATTTCCTGATAATTTTCCAATAGATTAAAACATATACTTACAAAAATAAAAAATAGAAAACATATTAGAGTATAGAGATACAGTTAAGGGGGGGAAAGAAGTTCTGTCCTCAGTCTTTTACTTTTTAGATGGTTCTCCTGTCAATCTCTCTAGCTGTGGAACCTAGAGATAAAATCTTCCTAGCATGTGAACGAAACAACACATAGTCTTTTTTTTGCACTTAGTTTTTCAATTTTTTTGATTGCTCAGCTTGAAAGGGTATAAGGGAGCTTACGGAGGGGTCTTTGTTGTGGAAACCTTGCTTATTTTGATAGAAAGTTTTATTGTTCTTAATGGTTTGATGCATTTTTTTCTTGAGTTGCTATAATTGTTGATATATCATTTAATTATTGCTACATTCTAAGTCGAGTCATATATGGCATGCTGCTGTACTTCACTGTACTTTTAAATAAAATATGTATTTCCCAAAAAAGTGATACAGTAGAAAAATAAATGGATTGTTCTAATAGGTATAAAAATACAATACATTGCAAGCAGTTTTAATTAGAAAATAATTAGAGAATGTATAACTAAAGCTAATTGCATGATGAATTGAAGCTCCAACTACTGCTTTATGATGGCTGAGGAGCGATCATGAAAGGATACACACTTTATTCATACTATTTCTATAAACTGGAATGAAATGTATGACGGATTCCCCACAAGCAGCTGTTGTGTTTTTTTTTTAGATCAAGAAGACACGGGGGAGATGCGGGTCAAAATGCGGCTGTGCAGCGAATAGTGTGAAATTGACCAATGCAACCGGGGCAAATGGAAGAGCGAGGGCAGCACAGTTGCTTGTGGGGAATTGGTCTATGTCTCTGGAAGATGTGTTCCTGAATGTATCCAATCTAACACCCAATTGATTTAATTGAAATTCCCACAAGTTAAATAGCAGTTACAACATACAAAACAGAAGATGATGGATGGATCACTCAGTGACATTTTGATTGGTTTACCTGTATTTGGATGGGCTAGTGCACTGTTTTACTTGTATGGAATTCATATAATAAATATTTTTTAAAAAACTCAATATATCATGACACATTTGGGAATGTAACAGTCCTACGTATTGAGACTGAGAGTTAAGGCTTCGTTTTTTATTCTAGCAGATAATGGCCCAAACCATACAACTTTGTTAAGCCAAGTCTAAAGCCATACTCCAGTTTAAAGAGCCTTCCTCCATCTTAAGTGTCTCTTCCACAAGAAGAACCACTTAAATCAGAGGAAAGCTCTTTACCTTGGAGGAAGGCTTCAAACTATACTCAGCAGAGTGGTAGGAGTGAAATTTTATATACTCTTACTTGCCTAGAACTGGGGAGAGAGGAAGAAATACCACCATTATCTCCACCTGGAATTTTTAAGGGGAAGACAAAAATATCTTTACACACTGGGATATATTGATCTACTGTATTCAGTGGTCTATAGTCCATAGGCTCTGCTCATGTGGGAGTAAGCTGCATTAACCTTAATGGGACATTGTGGGCTATTAGGATTATTAGCTTTCTTGGTCCCAACAAGGTGTGGTGCTGTCATCAGAACTCCCCATTTTTTTTCTTTTTAAATAGCAAGTGTATGGGCCCCTGATCTGGACTGGGACTGTAGTAGGAGAGATTAATCCCACCACTGCCATTTTCCCCAACCTGAAATAGCCCTGCAGAGTTATTTGCCCAATATCATTTCAGTGTTCCTACATCATAAATAATTCCTGAAACAGAGAATCAGTTAGGGTGAAAGACATGCCAGCTGCCCAAAACAGTTATACACCAACTCCAACTCAACCGCTTTGTGTGCATAGAACGGCCAATTCTTGGCTCTCTTCCATGAGCAAGAAAATACACTACACACACAGTGTGGAACACCGTGTACCTGGTATACTTCGCTGAAGAAAATAGGAAGTCCCTAGGTACACAGATCTGAATCATGTCCATCTTCTATCAAGATACATATATTCATTTCAGAGGAGCCTGGAGCACTGTTTACAGACCAAAATGGACCATACAAATCAAAACAGACCAAATACATCATACAGCCTACTTTCAGGCCTATAAGATGGAGATGGAAGTGATAGTGGTGAAGCTGGCTTTTCCATCAATGCATCAGCTGAATCTTGTCCAGTATGATTGTTTTGACACATGTCTGATCCACTTGTTGAAAATAATTCAGCTACCAGTCATGATTTTTGCAGGATTCATTGCTGCTAAAATCTCTGTTATCTAGTCTGTCTCTGATGCCAGGATGAAGGAAGATTCTCTTCCATAAGGATTTGGAACTTCAACTTGTCTTCTCTGACAAAGGAGAACCTGGCTATTATAGGCCTGTTTCCAATCTTCCTTTCTTGGGCAAGATGACTGAGCAGGTGTGGAAACAATGGTGACTGGGGTGGTCTAGGAGGTGGAAAGACCAACCTGCGGCCAGGCAAGGCCGGCTCACCCGCTAGGCGAACTAAGCATTCACCTAGAGCGCACCAGCCCTTAGGGGCAACAAACAGGACCCACCCACCCCGCCAAAGCCCCCCAAGCCTCAGCCAAAAGCCTGCATCATGATCTCCGGCCAGCTGGGTGGGCAACGATCCTGGGGTGCGCCCAGCTTGGCAGGACCCTTCGCTCGCTCGCTCTTGCCGCCTCCTCCTCCTCCTCCTCCTGCTGCTGCCTGGCGGCTGCAGCCCCTCTATCACCGGGACTCAGAGAGCCATCCCGGCCCGCCTACACCCGAAGGAATCCCTCTCCCTGGAACGTGTCACTTGGCACCTGCTGAGGAAGCGCCAGGTGGGGCGGGGAGCCGAGCGGGCAGGAGGCGCTCAGGGGAGGGGAGGGGAGGGGGCAAGTTCAAGCCTCTCACTTGGCTAGCCTGTGCGCACCGGCCCAGTGCTGGCGTTTGCCTGGCCCATGGGAGCCCAGGATCCCCGCAAGCCCCAGAGTACTGACGTGGACCCCTCGAGCCCCTCCTGGACGACGAGGCAGCGACTCCCTGCGTTTCTTTGCATGTGTCTGTTTGCAAGCAGAAAGGAGCTGCTGGGGCCGCTTCTCGGGCCCCTCCACTGGGAAAGAAGATCCGTGGAAACCGGCAGAGGGGACTAGCGCCTGGCCAATCTGCTCCCAGCCGGTTGGCTGGTGCTGCTGGGCTGCACGCTCCCTCCTTCCTCGCCCCAAGCGTGGCTGCCTTGAAGTTGTGCCCGGAGCAGAAAGTGAAAGTGCATCAAGTAGTGGGGGGAGGGGGGCTCCCCTGAGAGGGCTGAGCAAAGATGCGGCTGGGCAGCAAAAGTGAGTAACGGCGTTTCTGGCTTTCTTTCCTTTCCTTTCCTGGGCATGGGACTGGGCCTTTCTGTGCAGGCAGCTCTCTCAAACCGTGGCTCCAAACCGGGACCCAAGTGCCCAGTTTCCTGCAGGGTGAAGGAAACCACGCTTGTCTCTGACCATGCCCAGGGTGTGTGTGTGGGGCTATTCCTTCAGTACTGGTCCGGGGGGGGAGTGCGCGGGCTTGGCCCGGGACTCCCCTCCCCACCTCTCCAAAGGGGGAGATAAGTTAGGCCCCACCTGGCCCCGCCTGGAGGTTGGCAACCCCATAATTGGGTGCACACAGGGGGGCACCAGAAGGTAGCCCCACCTAGGTCACAAAAAAACTTCAGGCCGGCCCTGCGGCCAGGCCAGGTGACCACTGGGTGAAAGCTGGAGACAAGACTAAGTACTGACTGGTGGGAAGGGTCTAGCCCAGAATAAGACTACATGCAGCAGCTGTGGGACAGAAAGGTATCCAGTTAGGTCTGAGGTCTGATTGGGGTCAGGGCGGAGTCTGGAGGTCAGCGGGTTAAGCAGGCAGGGCAGGGCCAGTTACTATGCTGGGCTGTTAAGACTGTGATTCTACAGAGTTGGGAGGCTGCCAATGAGAGAGCAACAGGGTGTGGCCTTCAGAGTGCTGTGAACTGCCCAAGGTAAAGCAAATTTTTGATCTGTTCAGTCTGCTCACCCAGGATGCAGTTGACAAGACCTTGGCAGCAGTGAAACCCTCCACTTGCCTCCTTGATCCCTGCCCATTGTGACTAGTTAGAAGCTGTGGCAATGCACTAGTTAGTCCCTTGAGGTGAACTTGTCCCTGTCCACAGGGACCTTCCTGAAGGAGGCAGTGGTCCGCCCACTCCTGAAAAGACCATCTCTGGACCATGTTAAAATATTCTTGATATGAGACACATTTGCAGTGTTAACTAGATAATGATCATCATCAAGAGTGCTTAGCTCTCTCTGTGAGGGCAGATCTGCATGCCCCCCCCCCCCCATAGCTAGCAATCCAAAAGATTCCAATGACACCTTTAAGACCAAGGCTTATTCAGGTACAAGCTCTCCCGCCTTCTGATACACTTCTGGTGATGTCAGGGGGTGTGGCATATGCAAATAAGTTATGCTAATGAGTTATGCTAATGAGCTCCTGCACCTCTTTTTTTACGAAATGACCCCTGCTTGAGCACAAGATTATATAATGAAAATATTGTTCCTCAATTTACCCAGGCTTGTTTTGAAACCAGTGTGGTCTTATCCCTCTGCATTAACCTTACTGTGATTTCTGAACTGGCTTTATGACCAGATATTCTTGTCTCTGCAGCATGGAACAGGTGCATTATGACCAGAGGTTCTCTGTTTCATTATTTTGGAAAATATCTTGTGCCACTGAACTAGACCCTTCAGTAAGAAAACATGTGCCCTGCCCCAAGAGCCTCTCAAAAGCATCATTTCAGTATTGCCAGCTGCCCACCATACAGCTGATGTTCTTTTGCATGCATTGTGAGGGTGTTGGGCACATCTGCTAGGGATATATAGAACTGGATACTGACAGCCTGTCATTGGCAACACAACCTTTGTGTCTTCACAGACAATAAGATTTCTTTGCGCCAAGAATTTCAACAGCAAAGTACTCTAAAATATATGAATTAGACTAACAACTTGCATGTTTTTAAATAAAATGCTTTGAAAGAAGAAAACAGACCAAATTACTCAAATCAAAATGGGTTGCATAAAGCATATA